AAAAAAAATCTTCCCCTGTTCAGTCTAACTCGTAACTGTTATTGGTATTTTGCAGATACAAAGCTGCATCCTTCACAAAGGCCCCACCGAAACAAGCTGTTGGCAGAGCCAAGTGACTTCAAGAGATTTCCTAAGCCACAAGGATAGACTGTGACTGTAAGCCACGAGAACCCAATTCACTCTTCCAGAGGTGTTTCCTGGCTCTTACAACCACTATTGATAACCAGAGGCCAATCTGAAGCTGTGCCAGGATGTTTGTGTACGGTTGCTATACTGAGAAGTTGTGTGTTTTGATTTGCATATCAGCTACTGCTGTCAGTCATTTTCATGCAAGTTGTTGTCTCTATCCTGTGCAAACCCAGTGAGATAACACAGTTGTCAAGCAGAGCAGAATTTGGCACACCATGTTGACCCAGCTTTATTTCAAGCTTTCCCCGTGTGCCATCTCAGTGTGCTGTCTTCATGCCTTGAACATGGTTGTCTTCTGCCAAATGTGACTGTTCAATGCACAAACAAATGTGAATGCAGTACCTCAATAAAATCTGGCATTTGTGTTGTATTTTTCTTAGTTTATCATTCTCTCCACTTCTGTTTCCTCAGAAGATTCTTTTGAATCTTGAAATTATTTTCATGGGAAATTTTTCTAACAAAAGGTGAAGTTAATAAAGAATTTACTTTTTTAGGGAAATTTAGATTTTAACAGCTGTTTTCACTGGGATTGGTATACACTGAAATTAATTGAAATAAACATCCAAAATTGTTTTGCAGATTCTTCATCAAAACATGTTGGAATATTTCTTAGGAAGCAAACTAAAATTTTCCAGTAGTATTTCAGTTTGGAGCACTAATTTGTCAAGTGTTGAACTTCCTTCAGGTAATCAAAGAGCTCTAATTGCACATTTTATTTCCCCAGAAGTCTCAGGAACAGCCAACACAGTCTTAACTGTCATATTTGAGTTGTCAATTCTTTCAAGCTTTCAGTCTTGAAATCATGAACATTAATCATAATGATTTCTTTTCATCTTCTGAGGGTTCTTTAAGGTGAGTGATCAAAAGAATTTCAAAACTATTTAACCATGCTGTTGATATTAAGGCAGTAGATTTTATCTTCCATTTGCAGATGAAGCCTAAAACATTTACCTAACATGTCAGTTTTTTCTGTGGTTATACTTCAACTTGTTAAGACAAAATCCTTGTCTACTGCTGGGAGTCACATCTTTTTGTGTTATAGTGCTTGAAATTTAAATTCTGTAGCTGTCTGGTACTGTGCATCAAAACCCCAAAGTGCTTCTGATCTCATCTGCTCTTGTGTGAAATAATCGACCAGTGCCTCCTATTGAAGTAGAGAATGTGGTGTATGTTCTTCCAATAGCTGTATGTCTGTATATAATAACTCATTAAACTGCTGTTTGCCACTATGGACTTGGAGAAAATTGAAACCACACTGGAGGCATAAAGAAAATGTTTTTATAACAACAGAACATAAACCTGATCTTCCGGCCTCATAATTTTCTTGATTGGGACTGTCAAAGAGCAGAAGGGAAAGAATTTATGAGTTTTGCCATCTGGTTTCCTTGGAGGATGCCAGCCATGAGATAAATGTTCTGGAAGCATATGCTTCATTTTGAGCCACCAATAAAAGAATTATGGAAGATGAAAAGAAAAAAATATATTTAAGTTATTTTAACTTCATACAAATTTGAGTCAGCACTTCTTTAATTTTTTAATTCTAAAGATACTTAAAACTAACAAGATGTACCAGATATTTTGAATGTTGCAAGATCAAAATATCTTTGATTTCCGTCTCTTGGGCAATTTCAAAATCTTTGATTCCTCAAATAACAAGGTTATTTTCCCCTCAGATACTGGGCTATTTATTAATTTTGAATCTCTTAAGACACCAAAGTAACAGAATTAAACGTAAAAAACAGAATGCAAAAAGAAGGTCCAGTTCTTTGCCTATGTCCAATGTCTGTTTTTGTTTTCTGTCACTGTGTTTAGGAAAACCCATTTCTTTGCCCTTTTAGCTAGCTGGTTTGTAATTGAAGGTTTCTAAATGTCACCAAAAAGTACCTCCCACGCAGGTTTGATTAGAGAATCAGCACACTGCCCAGAACAGCTTTCAAATGTAATGTGCAGTCACAACAAGGGTGACTCCCTATGCTTAATAGCCATAATAAGCCTTAATGTACTTGTTAGACATAGCCCTAATTTTTGCCCTGGGAACATTTTAAGCCTAAATTGATTAAATTAGCACATAAAGCAAATTCAGGGCTGTTATGCCATCAACTGTACAGAAACTACTAAAACTCACAGGCGTTGCTGTGAACATTCTTTATTGTTTTTCTAAGTTGAGGAGTTTTTCTAATCATAGGGGCAAAATAAAAGTTGTGTGAAATCGGCCTCTCAGACTGTGGATGTACTGCCAGAAGTGGCAGCTCATGGCAAAGTGATCTACTTTTGTCATCCCTACCATTCTCTAGATACTGTAATATTAATAACTGCCTGTTCACTTGTGTTACTTAATCTGACTTTGGGTCTCAGTAGAAAATACCTCATCAATGCTGCCACACAATCAGTCAAGTATGTAATGATTTTCATAATTAATCACTTAAGTATAATTTCTGAAGGCTTTATCTTTAGTTATTTTTAAATTAAGGAAGAAAGACCAAAGAAAAGTCACAGTTTTACTGAATGAAAATAATAGCTATTTTAATTATTTTCCTATCAAGACAAATTCTAGAGATCCTCACAACTGTTACATCCTTCAAGTTTTGGGAAAATTGAGGAAGAGCATAAAGATTCAGCTGCTTCCTAGCAATAAAAATGAGAAGTTTTAAAGTTCTGTTCTGTTAGCCTGAAGCTCACAGGAATCCTGTCTTTTAATGTTAAGTGAGGAATTAAAAAATTTGTCCAATAGATTTGAAATTATCTTGTACTTTTCATAGTAATTTGTTTGGAAATTTGGGAATTTAAGAAAAAATTACATATTTTAACCATTACTGAATAGTGGGGTAGAGATCTACCCTATTATTATTATTATTTTACTAATACTGTATTAAAAGCAGAGGATGAGAGAATTCTACAATGGCTGGCTTTTGGAGAATTGGTTCTGAGCCATTTGAAGATATGTCTGGTTCAGAAAAAGAGATCTCTGCTGCAGAGAGAAATTGAAAAAGTTGAAGATCTCATCTGAACAACCACCATCAGGATCTCTCCAGGTTCCCAGCACCTTTTATTTCTGGAGCTTTGGAACAGGTTCTGGTTTCTAGTGCTCAGCAGGATTATTTCACTTAGCATCCCTTTCCTGTCATTCTGTAGTTCCTGAGTGTGGTAGACAGGTAGAGATGAGTGATTCAGATCTGTGTGTAGAGTGTGTATAAGATAGCTTTGTATGGGAAGAACCTACACAGGCATCTCTGAAATTCCTAAGTCTGTGACCAATATACTGAAATTTAGATTTCACATGTATTATAAACCAGCTACTTGAAAACATCCTTTTAGTCCCATCCATTATTCCTCTGCTTTTTCCAGCCCACATCCTTTAGAAAAACTGTTGAAGAGCCTTGCTTCATATACTGAGAGTACATTTTGATGGCAGCAGCAAAACAGAGTGGTGAAATTGATTAGTGGAAACAGCCTAAGTTCAAAGAGATGCATATAAGCACCTTTTTTGCATCTGATATTTCGGCATACTAAAGCTGAAGAGTATCTTATGAAACCACAGCTTCCCTTTCCCACAGCTTAAAAAAAAAATGGTGGCAAGAGGGTATTAAGGACCATGATTATTTTCTTTCCTCCATCAGCAGTGATGAGCATTTTGCCAGCTGAATCATGCAGCATGACCTAGAGGTTTTGAGGGAAAATGGGTTGTTCAAGGTTTGGTTGGCTGTGGAGGAACTTCTGCAGAGAGGCATGGGCTTAATGGGGCAGCATCTTGAGCCTCCTGAGCCCTCATCCAGGCAAAATCTGTATCTGTTCCAAAAGGGTGGGTAGAAGCAAGAGCCAGGGTGTGTCCCCAGAAATAGAGGAGAATGAGCCGCTGGTTTATGAATATTTTATGTTGTCAATTCTCATGTTTACTATGATAATCTGGATTTCACAGATAGCACCTTGCATTGACCTGGTCCTTTGCCATTATTGCTGCCTCTGCTCTCCCTCTTCTCTTGCACAGCATGTAGCAGGTGGAAAACCTCCAGGTGTTATGCAAGGTCAACACTTCAGAGTACTGAAGTGGCTCTGCAATGGCTTTTATGAGACTGTACTCCAAAGCAGAAAAGCCTTCTGGGAACCAAGCCTCAGGCTGGATCCATCCCTAACCAAAGTTGTGACTTACTCCAGGGAGAGTGGGATGCTCCTTTTGTTCCTGATGAATGGCTACTTGTTTCTGCAAGCAAATGTAAGGTTAAGTATGTTTTCCTTAATGAAGGTACTGAGAAATTGAATTGGTATTTTTGAGTCAACTGCAGAAATTTCAGTAAACGGGATCTGCTTTTTTTACAGTGCTGAATCAAAATGTCAAACCAGCACAAACCAACTATAGGAGAAGAAATAAAACAACATGCTGAATATCAGCAAGATATTTCAAACTGCCAATGCCATAACTACCTGTGAGAAATCAGAACAAACAAGGCAGAGATTCAGCTGTGGGAAAATTGTCTCAGAGCAACTCGTTTGCAAAGTTTTGAAACTTAATTTGTCACCCCATCTGAGCTTTATAGACTGTCTGCTCCCTTCAGTTCCTGGTTTTGCTAAAGAGATGTTTTAGCTTCAAAGAAGTGAGGCGAACTAACTGAAGAATCAGTATTTGTTCATTTGGTTTTTTAAAAGGTAAAGGAAATTCTTCAGTCCTTTCAGCCCAATGTTGGTTTTCATTCTGTCCTTTTTAAAAAAGATCCCAAAATTTTTTTCTCCAGAGGAGAAAATAATGCAGCTGTGAAATTTTTCTTTGCATTATAAAGCAGAGATGATTCTTTATTTTAATGATATTGAGAGACATGGTACAGTGACTTTAGTGTCACATGAGATTGTGTCTGAATGTTTCCTACAGCATGAAATGCCAGAAATTGCAAGTGAAATACAGGGATTTATTCATGATGAAGACAACAAATTCAGAATCTCTCCACAATTAAAAGGTAACTCCAAGAAATAGATTATGTATTCATGCAATACATGTGTATTTAAAAAATAATAACAATTTGAACTACAGTTGGGAAAGCAAGTGCTGAAATTGTTTGCTCTAATGACTAATGTACAGATCACCTCTGAGTAATACGCTTCTTCTAAGGTACTAAGTGTAATTTGTGAACATTTTGTATTTTCTATTTTCTCCATTACCTTGGGAAGGGAGGAGCTGGGAAAGTAAAGATCATGAAGACTGGTTAAATCTTTTGGATGAAAATACTGTGAAATGGTAACTTGTCCTGCAGGTCCTCACCTCTGCTCTGGGGATGAATGTACTGAGCCTGAGCAGGACTTGCTGGTATAGCCGGTATAACACCGCTGTGGTAAAACCACAGTTTCCTTCAATCTTTGATGAATTTTTAGGTTTGTGGTTTTGGCTCTGCCTCTTTGCTGTTAATTAGCATGTTAATGGATGGCAGTTGGCGTCAAGATCCCTCTAATACGTCACAACTGGAGAGCTTGTTCCACTTGAGGAAAATAATATTCCTCGCAGTTTATCAACAGGCAGTGTTTCATATTTATCAGCTTGGCAACAGCAGGTACTGTGAGAAGCCTGAAGAGTCCTCAGTGGTAACATGTAATATAGTCAAATAAAGTAATTTTCTAAGTCAGAATATCGCAATATCTTAAATAATAATAAAAGAAAGAAGTTGTAAAGCACTGAGCATTCAGCCTGTAGTGTTAGGCAAGGGATGTGGAATAATACTTTAACTCACCAGCTAACAGTTAATTATGAGCCAGCCAAAAATAAAACCATCACAAAACATGATGTCCTGTGCAGCTGCTTTTGGGAATAGTGTAAGGAAACATAAGATATCCCAGGACAGAGAAAAATGAAAGTGCAGAATTCTGTTTCAGTGATATAATGGGACTAAATTAAATCTGTAAGTTACTCTTGGGGAATTCAAACACCCACAGAAAGAATTTGCTGGCAGATCACTGGGCTGTATCTGAGCAGTACTCAGCATGCATTGCTTATCCCACGTGGTAACATCCAGGGAAAGGGAAATAGACAGGAGCAAGAAGCATGAACAGTGAAAAGAGTTTACTCCAAAAGAAGGAATTAGAAAGGACTCTTAGAGCAGAAAGCCCGTGGAAGGCTTTCTCTCTGTCTGGTCATTTACACCACAGACGAAGTTTGAAATTGTGTGTATATGTCCTGTCAAGGACTCTGGCCTGTAGATAGCCATGTCCAGCTTCATTATAACTTGCAAATAATTCTGTGGCTCAGATTTGTTTGGGCAAAATTGTGAGGTGCAAAGCCAGAGGTAAACCATCTGCTTCCTTGTGCTATTTGAAAAGCACACAAAGAAAGAGGGAAGGAAGGAGCAGGTAAGACAAAGCTATTCTCTACCCAGGGCTTATTGATCCAGAGGGAGTGCAGGTGTGGTGCTGTAGCAAAGAATTCAGTGAGATTGTTTCCATGTTTCCTTCTGCACCTGCTGGGTCTCAGACTGCCCTGCTCAGTAGTCACCCAGTGACACTCTGGAGTGGCAGGTCACCCAGGAGCATGGCACTGTCACGTGCTCACATCCAGGCCTTCGCACACTCCTTTACTTTTTCTAGAGTCTAACGTGGCAGCAGAGATGTGAGAGAAAGGGTTTTGGGAAAGTTATTTTTCAGCCTTCCAGATTTCAAATTCTTCCTGCCTGAGGAGGAAATGGTGTTTGTGTAGGTTTCAAGTCTCACAGAATGATTAAGGAAAAAGTTTTGAATTTTTTAAGTTTTGGATTCTGGGTCATACCTCCTCTAACATTTACACTTTTCCAATTTGTTCTTAGTTTTCAGGTACACCATGTTCAGTTCAGTACCTAAAACTCTGGGATTTGGCTGGAAAATATTAGACTAATCCCCAGTAACTTTCAGGATCTAAGATCATCTGAATTATTTATAAGGTATGTTTTGAAACAGATTTGGAATATGGATATTTTAACAAATGTTTGTGTAACACATAGACTTTCCAATCTAATGATTAGGAAGAGTAGGATCCCCCGGTATTAAAGGCACACTAACAGCCTTTTAAAAAATAAATCTTTAGGAGGCAGGACTGCTGCACATGTTTAAAAAAGAAACAGAAGGAAACACCCAGAAGCCCACATTTCTCTGCAAGTTAAGGAGCAGACTTCACATGTCATTAAGCATAAATTGAGCCTGACAATTAGATCTGTGGTTACCCATTACTTTGTGTTAATGAGAAGCATAAGTTAAAAAAAAAAAAATAGTATTTCTTAAAGCAAAAATATCATCACAATCTTTGTTGCTTATTTTAGCATAAGGAAATACAGTAGTTTCATGGTGCAGTTATATTATTAGAGGCAGTTTAAATGTAATTTTATTTCTCTATAGAACATAACGAACACATGTCTAATACACCAAAACTGTTGTTGGATCTTGTACTAATTCAGGTGAATACAGACTTTTGTGACTGCTATCACAGGAGCTGCTTTGAGGGGAGGCAGTTGCTCTTCAGCTGCCAAGGCCCCATAGCTGCAGGTTGCACTTTTCCTCTGTTGCCTCCCTTTCTGCTGCATCCCTGCAGATGTCTGTAAAGCTGGGTCTCCCAGCAATGATCAATAAGCAGATCACCAGTGCCAGAGATTAGGCAGGGTGGTGTGGCAAGAGAGAGCTGCTCTTCCTCACGCAGCAGCACCAATCTCCAGCCAGTCACAGATTTTCTGTCGAGTGTGACAAGTAGAGACCTAAATCTTCAATAAATTTGTTCAGACATTTTTATTTTCTGTGTACTGGGGCTGAACAAAATACTTAAGGACTTCAAGGCAAGCATTGCATGCCCCAGCCAAAGTAATTTCCTCTGTTTTCCATAGCATTTGCAGCAGCAAAAAGTAATGAGAAATACTTGGCTACTGTGATTTTCAACTACATCTATTCAGTCTTCCAGAACTGAATGATTTAGCTGGATGCTGGAATATCAGAGTAAAATTCTCTTCATCCATCAGTTCTCTGAGACCAGCTGCACTGGGCTTCTGCTTCCATTGGGAGCTCCTGTAATATCCATCAAACGTTTTTCAAGATTGTGTTTAAACTCCTAGGAAAGTACACACTTGTGTCACCCCTGGGCAATGCTATGTGAGTCAAGAGTCAGGTCAGAGCTGAATGCAGAACATGCCTGTTGCTGCCCTCATATGCACTGCTTAAATTGAGTCTTTGAAAGCCCATCGTATGAATGGTTCCAACCAATACCAAAATTAGGCCTTAAGTCTTAACTACATATTGTGACCCTTCTAAAACAGTTAGCTGAAGTATTTTCATAAAAAGGAATAGTATTTTTATCACCAATGTTTGATTTGTCTACCACTGTTGAAGACCCAAAGTACCATCATTTACAAGGAATATAGAATCACAGTAATTTTTCATTATTTCATTGTGTCATATTTTCATTCAAAACTTCCTATTCATCCAAGGACATCCTAAGTACCCACTTGAAACTCAAAAGCACCTAAGTGATGCAAGTGAACACACAAGAGAGGTCCACTGTGACATCCACAGTACACAGGTGTTTCACTGCAGTTGACTTGGGTGGCATTAGCACTGAGATGCCTTGAGAGCTTCAGGTGCTCACTTGTGTCCTTCCTGTCTCGAGGACTTCTTCAAAAAGTCATCTGCATGGGTGAGGGGATGGTGGGAAACCAGGGGAAGTTCCTCTAGTAGCTTGAAATAGAGAATGAGAACATTTCTTCTAAAAGGTGCTTTGGCTGTTTTTCTGTGCCCAGACTCCCATGTTCCAAACAGGAGTGGCTGTGGATGTGCTGCAGTGGTAATGTTTAGTAGTCAAGTACTGTCTGTTGCAAATTGCTTTGCTCCTGAACCCAGTTATGGTTGCTAAGTGACAAAAACCTAATTGTCTCTCATGACTTTGACTAAGCCAAGCATTTAAAAGCAAGAAAGTGAAGTGCTAAGGACAATGCAGCTCTCCTGCTGTCTGTGTAACAAGGCAGGTTTGGTACTAATCTGTTTTCCAGAGCAGACAAAGGTGTTTGTTTGCTGTTCTTCTCCACTAACTTTATTATTCCTGATGGTATTATAGAGAATTACGTTAATTGCTATGGTAATTGTAACAGGAAGCAATTACTTTCAGCAAACAGCAATTACTTCACCTTCACAAATTTGTTTGTGGCCACACCTGCCCTTAATCCCAGATTTATAACATTTTTTCTGGAAATTAAAAAAGATACTGCGTGCTCTTTAGTGGGGAGGGTGTGCAAATTTGCATGTTAGGGATCTTACCCATGGCCAAACCCCAGGGTCAAAAACAGATACTTAAAATTCTCATTACTTTTTTAAGCATCTCATGTAAGCATCTCATCAGGGGTGGCTTAGGACTGCTTTTAGTTGTGATTGGTAATTGGTACAGACAAGAATAAAAAATACTTGGGAAAAGGAAGTAAAGTAAAAGCTGGGACCAGCTTGGTTTCACTTAAAATAATCCATAATGTTGTTCTTACTTTCCTATCTAAGGACTTTATAGAAGGCACCTATGTGAATATAGATCTAAAAGATATTAGAATAAAAAACATTACAGAGCATTTGTTTGCTATGTTAACATATGTTAACATGTTTCTGGGAAAACTGATGAAATACTGTGGCATTAGCAGTACTAAAGTGTTATTGAATGCCTCACAAAGGCATTAAATTATATTTAAAGATCAAATTCCATAATTTAATAATGTGTAAAATAGCTTTCTCCTTTGTTTCTTTTGGTTTTTAAGCGATATCTCTTACCCAGTAGTACTTCATAAACTGTTTTGGCTTTTTTTAATCCTCTGTTCCTGACCTAGATTGAAAATTTTTCTTGATAAACAGCTCCAGTGGTGTTTACTACTCAAAGCAGCATTCCTCAACATCACTAACGTTCACTAAACCCTTCAGAATGAGAACCCCCCAAACTACTAATTACCAAGGTGCTGTGCTGCTCACATAAGTAAACTGAGAAATATTTAGTCCTTTGTTTTTTTACTTGGAAAGATGGCATTTTCTGCTCTGTGCTCTCCAGTGCAAGGCCAGCCCTGGAAAATACCCAGGGGCACATTAGCAGGGGATTCTGTCAAGCCAGGATGAAGGTGGAGGTGGAGGATCAATAAGAATCAGTGCCCTGTTTCCCACCTATCTGCCACGTTTAGAAGTGTTCCCCAGGGACCTCAGAGCAGAACAATCCATAGCTGGGGCCTGGAGTCAGCACAGCAGGCTAAGGAAAATGAAAAGAAGCTGGCACTAAGTTGTCTCTCTAAAATTTTCTGTATGCACATTGTCCCCCAGGTTTGGTTTGCCATGGCAAAAGTACATCCCAAATCCATAAGTTGTGTTGCATCCTTGTAGCAACTGTTTTCTCTGGAGAAAGATCTCTACAATGTTAAATGTTGATATTTTCCAGTGCTCCTTATTTCTAGTATAAGGATTTATGGTCCTGGACCTGATAGGCAGAATAAGTAGATTCCCTGAGGATTTTCTGGATGGGAACATTTGCCAAGCCCTGAGCAGCACAACTCATAACAGTGCGTTAAGGCCATATTTGCTTTTAATCTCTGCTTCACTCCATGTGCCAGCAATTTTGAGGAGTAATTGACATTACCTTGAATCCAATGGTCTGCCTACACTTTTTTTATGAGCAGACATGATCTCACTCTGCTTGCTAGGAAAATACCATCTCCAAACAATGGGTTAGCAAAGCCCTGAGTCTGGGCTGATATCTGCATTTGCTCAGCTTCAGGACTGTGCTGTATGGCTCACAGCCAGCCTGAAACACAGGCTGGGGGAGCTCAGGAGAGAGCAGGAGAAGAGAAAAGAAAGGTGGACTGGTCTTAAGGAACTTGAAGTGAGGTTTATAAAACAGATTGTAGCCTACATCTCCATCAGACCATGTGAATTAAGCACTTTGCTGCATCTCCAGATACCTGGATGTAATTAAAAATATTTCTTAGTATGAATTAATGTGATTGGAGTCAGAATTATTCTTGCTATGTGCTTCCGTTAATTGAAATATGATCTAATTATGTGTACAAATTATCAAGGAAAGTGTATCATAACATCTTCAACACAATTCCAGAATATAATCCAGATGGCTTAATGTTTGGGATAGTACAATGCTTAGTTGGTACTAATGCTTAGATAGTACAATGGAAGTTGGAACACCATGTGATTTTTAAGTAATGCAGAAAGTATGTGAACTGCCATTGTACACATCTTGCCTTCCAACACAAAGTTTTCTAATAGCAGTTCTGTTTTCCAGCTTTGTTTATGTGGCTCAGAAAGGCAAAGGACTGAACTAAAACAGTTTTTCCAAAAAAACCATTTCATTAAAACCTGGCATTCAGCTGCTAAAGAATTCCCCAGTGGCCAAATGAAAACTGAAGAGTGTTAAGGGATATGAATGCTGTGCTAAGCCATATCTGACTTTGCCTTCCAAATTAGAAACAATCAGAATTAGCTTAGAAAAAAAATTGTTCCAGTCAAATCAAATTTTAAAAGATACAAAATTATTAGAGTGAGGTAAATTCATGGGGAATGTGAAGGGCAGCTGGAAATGTAAGTCAATCAGCAATATGGATATGGAGATCATGAAAACCAAATTGTTCAACAAAATTGTAGCAATATTGTTTTATTCTTCTTCCCAGACAATTAACAAATTGGATTGTCTCTCTATTTTACCACTGATTAAAAAGCTGAAAGACCCATTCTGATTGCCAGAGGATTACAAGAGAAGGCATCCAAGTGTACAGCTGGGCACTGCCACTGCCTTATGCACACTCACCACAGACAGCTGCTCTCCTGTTGCCTCCATCAATACACCAGACCACTGGCTCTTGGTACCTAAATTCTCCAGGTTTGCTTGGATTTTTGATGAACATTGTAGTCTTCATCACCAGCATGAAATAAAGAACTTGAAGCACAAATAATGGGTAAGCTCCTGTATCTGTTATTTCACTGAGACAGAGACTACTCCTGACTATTCCTGAATTTACAAAAGCAGCTCTAATTAACAGGATATTGATGGATCTGCCAGATTATGTACAGGACACATGCAGTCCTCCTATGGAACTGGCCCAGCACCCTCCAAAGGGAAAGACAGAGCTGTTGCATGTAATGCTAAAAATGTGACCATCTTTAATGTTGGACATAAAATTCTTATCCAGAAGCACAAGAAAGCTTATGATAGTGGATGACAACATCCACTGGAACAAACATCTGGCTCTGATTCTTTCAGATAATCTAGAATCTTACTGAGTAAAGAAAGCAGATTGTTTCAGTAGCCAAACAGTATAAATTATAATAAATTATTCTTTGAACAAGCAACTGATCCTCAATGTTTGTATGTACATTTTGGGAATATGGGTATTTTAAAAATGTTTCCTGAGTGTATATCAAGACTCCACCAAAGTGCTTTCATCTTCATTTTATGCAATGCAAATTTAATTCTTTTTGCTACTCATACTCCCAGTTTAAGTGAATCAAAAACAACTTAGACTTTTAAAAATGATAGTATTAGCATGAAAAGCAATAGACATCTTTCTTTTGGCACCATGGGAAAACTGCAGCAAAAAATTCTTTAAAGAAAAGCCATAAATGCCATTAATCTAAATGACCAGGGAGCAGATGCAGAAGGCAGCTGACAAATCATTTGCATATTTGTTATAAAATAAAGCATCCTTTAATGCAAATGAGCTCAGTGATACCGGGATAGGTAAGGACAGATTAAGAAGCTTAGGAGCCAAATTCACTATTCCAGTTTCTTTAGCATGATTTCTGTGACTTTTATGACTTTTGGTTATTTCATCCTGTCCATGTGGTAACTTCATTACACATTCCTGCTCCCAGTCTCTTCCAGTTCCCCTTGTTTTACCACCTTCTCTTGGCATTGGGCTTGCCCCAGCAGTGGTGCTTAAGCAGCATGTCCTCCCTCCCTCCCTCCCTCCCTCCCTCCAATCACAGCTCATGGGCTTCTAGCACCACTCACCTTTTGTGCTCCTAGGTGGAATACACTGATCAAGATTTTTAAAAAAATTAAAAATGAACTAAGCTAGTTTTAAGTTTACATCAGCCATTAACTCCCCACCCAATCCATTCCTCCCAACTCAAACCCTGCTGTACAAGCAAAATAGGTACAACACAGCACACATATGTTAAAGGCAGTGTCTCTCCCATTCTGGATTCCTCTGAGAGTCCTGCAAGACAATTGCAGTTAACATCTGCTGCTACAATTAGTCCCTCATTTTTAAAAGGGTTTTTCTCCTTGGTGTTCATTGACAGAGACCCCTTGCAGTCTGCAGTTCTAGTTAAGGATTGCTAAGGATTGTCACAGGAGCAGAGCACTGGATAGGAGTAAGGTTCTGCATATGTTTCTCTTGTTAAAGGCAAAAGCCAGTCAAGGGAGATAACAGCCCAACATGAGTTTTGTACTGCAGCGTAGATGGGTGGAGCAGGAGATGCTCTTTCAAACTAGTAATTGAGGAAGGGCTAGGATAAATGTAAACTTCTTGTCAGCGTGCCTTTGCATGCTTCATTATTAATTTCTAACATCAGGACTGCTGTATTCCATATTTCTGAATTTCCATCCCGAACCCATGCAAAGGTATAGTTCAATCCAGCAGCTACCTCAGTGTGCCCACTGCCAGGTGCTTTGCAGGAAGGAGCCTAAATGAAACAGTAGTAGAGGGCTAGGGAAGAATAACAATGTGCCAATGGGGGAAGGAAGTTTCTTTAATCTTCTTGGATTTTTCCTGAAAGCAAGAATTGTTGCTTATGTTTTGTAAAACCAAGCAAAACTTTTAAAAGCAAAGCCAAACAGATACAGCTGCCAAGGGCATGTTTGTCTCATCCTCTTTTTAACAATCTAAAAATTAGTTGGTTTCAGCTATTTGTCCACACTTCTCATGTAGCCAGTTGAAATAATAGACAGCAACCAGCACTTGACAATTCCTCCCGGCCCAGGAGATTCCACCCTGCAGCAACATGTGTTCCTGCTGTGTGCTGTTTGAAGGGATCCAGGTGGCTGTCTTGGAGTAGAGATCAGCCTTTCAGATATCTATAGGCAGGAGAGAGGGATCCCAGATGGCAAGACTGTATGAAAAGCAGGGAGATCCTTAGAGTTTTGTCCATCTCCCACAGTTCCCTCAGACGTTTATGGAAAATAACAAGTGCAGATCAACTTATACTTTGATTAATAAACTACCTCAGGAGAAAACAGAGAAGCAAACATCCATTGGTACTGAGTAAGCAAGGAACCAAAACTGCACATCATGAAAGCTGCTAGTAGCTCTGCCTCAGGATGCTCTCTTCGCTCCCAAAGTTCTCCAACAAAGCCTCTAACATTTGCAGAGTACCAGGAGAGGTGACTCTGGTATGTGGGTGCATCTCTAACTGAGAGTAGCAGGGTGGAGACATTTAATATTTAATCATAAGTAGGGTATGACATCCTAGCAGAGCTGTGGATGGCACCCCTGCATAGAATTAAAGAACCATTTAGATTGGAAAATACCTTTATGGTCATCAAATCCAACCATTAACCCAACACTGCCAAGTCCACCCCTAAACCATGTCCTTAAGTGCAACATCTGCACATCTTCCATGAAAATCTATTGATAAGGAGTTGATCAGACATTGCATTGATTAAAGTAGTCTGAATGGAAGAAATGCAGTGTTTAGGAATTTCCAAAACACACGCTAAAGGGAAAACCCACCAAACAAATAAGAAAACCAGTTAATTTACTCAGACCATGAAAAGTAAAGACAAACTTGTTTTATTACCTTTTCCTGTGAAGTATCTCTCTTCTTACCTGGAAATGGTTTGAACATGTCAGGAGTTAAGGATGCTTTAAGGAGTGGTTAGGAAATGCAGAGTGTGTAAAAAGCAGTGTAATGGTCTGTGTGAACAAAGACTATTTCATTTTCTGACAGGCAGATTCTGCTCTGATTTTGATGAGAGCAATGCTTCACTGAGTTTCTTTTACTTTCTCTTACCCATGGCAAATGGACATTTTAATTTATAGCTAGCTGCATACTACACTTATTCTTACATAACATTGGCAGTTTTCACCTCTTCTCATTGGCAATTATTCCTCTTAAATTAGTGGACAACATTCATGATGAACCCTTCCATCTTTCCCTTTAGGATATTCCTGAAGTGCAAATGCTGAGAACATGAAATGGTTCAATACTTTTTAAATAGCTTTTAGTGACAGGGTTAGTTAGATTCCAGCAGGTAGCCAGATCTTTTAGCTAGAGAGATCTTTGAGGTTATCTCTGCAAAACCTTACTGCTCTGAAGGGCATGGCCACCTCAGCTCTGCAGGCCAGCATGAGGCTGAGATGGCCATGAGAAGTCCTGGTTGTGTTGGGACAAATCCAAATCCCTGCATCAAAAACCTGTAGAAATGGGGATTGGCTACTATAGTAGTTGTGAAGGTGAAGCCAGCTCCACGTGAGTTGTGCTTTGGAAAACACATATAGTAATAAGCACAGGAAAGAAATGAGATCTGGAAGGAATCACTGAGGAGGTTTCCAGGTTTTAGAATACAAAACCTACTTGCTGCTTCAATTGGATTTCTGTTCAAGATGCAGCTGCTGTGGGGGTACGTGCAGCATATTTAATTTGAAAATATTCCCAGAACTTCTTTGCTGCAGACAGAACTTGCTCAAATGAGTAAAGAAATATATTTAATTGAGTAAAGAAATATATTTAATTCTTTAAATCTCAGAGGTTGTTTTGTTTGCCACAGATGTCACCCACAGCAAACATTTTTAATTAATGGCTCTCTAGCAGTCATGTTACCTTTCTCACTTGCCTGACTTTGAGGACAGCTAATTTCTGTGTTTATCTGTTCTACTTGGCATGTACATGATGTGCTAATGAAGAGAGAGAGAACAATAATGATGCTCAGCACTTCTACAGCATTTATTCCCTTTTACTGCATAAATATTAATTGTGAATCTTCACAAAAGCCCCAAGGAATAGATTAATACTATTATCTTTCTATTTAGGGAAATAGAAGCAGAGGTGAAAGACTATGAAAAGGAAACAGAAGTGCACAGATGTACTTTTCAAAGCTTTTTATAGCTTATGAAAGGTCTGTAGATGTTGTTTATAAATCTGATTACAGTTTATATTTAGGTGTTATGGGAATAGTAAATCTTGCCTTCCTCCCTTTTTCCAGGGAATCTGACAAACGAGGAGCAGTAACATCCTTAGAATTTAACCAGAAGATGAGAAAGTTTCACCATCAGGGAGGACTTTTTACCCAAAGGCTTTATTTCAACAGGCATTGAAGATAGTAGAGACTTGGAAACAGAATGAATAAAAGTCACTTATCTCAGTAAGGCACCGCTTCCCTGCCAGGCTGCTTTCTCCAGCAGAAAACACCCTGCTCCTCCATGCCCTGCCCTGCTGCAGTGCTGTCTGGGTTGTTTTAGCATCACTGCAGGTCCCCACACCACAGTCCTTGCACCTGCTTCTTGAACCTAAAATGGACAAGAAAAAGGACACCTTGTTTTGGACAGATGATAAGCACTGGCTGTTCTATCATCCAGCTTATGAAAAACTCCCCAGGACTTCTTTAGTGACATTGAATATATTTAGTTCCAAAGAGCAGAAATTAATCACTTCAACAATTAAAGCACTTGATTCTATGATAGCATTACTATCCTTGAAGAAACACAATACATAAATGGTTTTTATTGCTTGTATTCCTTAAAAGATGCATTTTCCCTTTCAGAACAGAGACATTATGTTCTCAAAATCCATTTCCAATTGAAAAGCCTCCCACTGCCTACGTGCAGGTGTGGATGTTTTCTGATTACTGCTAATCAAAGTTCAGGGTTGCTGCATTTCCCGTGCAAGGGAGAGCAGGATAAATGCATGTTAATGAAAGAGAGGAAGCAATATTAGTCTCAGAGATTA